ATTGTTGTGCCTGGCTAACTCCCAACTTAATAAACCCCACTAAGACGTAAGATTCTTTTTAATTATAAATATTCTCCTTATTTCATTTTCCCCCTTTTTGGCAGTATTCCAATTCTGATGCTGTTGTTTATGTTGGTTGTGGGGAACGAGGAAATGAAATGGCAGAGGTTTGCTTTTTTCTTCAGTTACTTGTATCAAATATTGTGTTTCTTATTCTGCAGTTGGTCAACTAATTGAATGATTGTTCAGGTTCTCATGGACTTTCCCCAACTTACAATGACATTACCTGATGGTCGTGAAGAATCTGTGATGAAGCGAACCACACTAGTGGCTAACACTTCAAACATGCCAGTGGCTGCTCGTGAAGCTTCAATTTATACAGGTGACTTTATAGCCCTTAAATTCTAGAACATCTATTTATCGTTGACAATTAATATTTTATAATTCTCTCGTATTGCCAAGTATAATTTATTTGGCTTGTGAAAGTCTTGTATGATTTCAATCAGTTGCATTTCTCAGCACCTGTGTGCAATGAGGTTTGTTGTAGATTTGTGCTTAGTGTCAAAATATTCTGCATATTGATGTGCTACTATATTCCTGTATTTGTACACTTGACCTTAATTTTTGTTATATTTGCCCTTATAATGGACTAGTTTGACCTGTGTCCTGCATTTTTTATAAAATTGCAGGAATCACATTGGCCGAGTATTTTAGAGATATGGGTTATAATGTCAGTATGATGGCAGATTCTACATCTAGATGGGCAGAAGCATTGCGTGAAATCTCTGGAAGACTGGTTAGAATTTTATTACCCTAATAGCAGTAAATCAGACTTGCCTTTTAGAAAGATTTTTATTTCAGTTTGTGTGCTTAAATACATTTATGATTTTGTAGCTTGACTTCATGAGGCTGAATTTTCTTTCTTGACTACTGTAAACTAGACCGTTTATGTACAATTATGATTGAGACACATGACAAATGGACTCTGGTCAATGTATTTTGATGATATTGTTGTCTTCCACAGGCTGAGATGCCTGCAGATAGTGGATATCCTGCATACCTTGCTGCTCGTTTAGCCTCTTTCTATGAACGTGCTGGGAAAGTAAAATGTCTTGGAGGCCCTGAGCGTACAGGCAGTGTAACAATTGTTGGTGCTGTTTCACCACCTGGAGGTGATTTCTCAGATCCTGTGACATCTGCAACCCTCAGCATAGTTCAGGTAAAATTATACATTCAATATGCCTGCAAAGTAAGTTAGCAATGGGCTTCAGGTTGTTTTGACAAATGTCCCCTAATATTTAAAACCATGTTCTAAATTATTACTGTGAATATCCATCTAGTTATTTCTGCATTTAGCTATCATTAGATGAATTTCGATTCATTGTGTAAGTTGATTTTTGCAAATTGTTAGGTTTTCTGGGGTCTGGACAAAAAGCTTGCTCAGAGGAAGCACTTTCCTTCTGTGAACTGGCTTATTTCGTACTCAAAATACTCAACGGTATGTCCTAAAGTTGGTTACTTAGTAACTCATTCTGCTGCTTTCTACATTTGTATGAATGTACACTTTGTGTTTTGATTCCACAATTTTTCAATTAATATTTTCTTTTTGGTATATTTAGGCACTTGAATCCTTTTACGAGCAATTTGATCCAGATTTTATAAACATTAGGACAAAAGCTCGTGAAGTTCTACAAAGAGAAGACGACCTGAATGAAATTGTCCAGGTGTGTTCTTTTGTTGTTTCTATTATACTGGTTCTGGTAATAGAAGTGGTATCATAAGCAACTTGTGGACAAACCATTAGGTAGTCAAAACTTAAGTATCATTGTGATGGATAACCTGATCAGTGGAGCTTCAAATGCCCACTAAGGTTGTATGCCACCCTTTTGATCTATAACTAGTACACATAACTGGATCATCTATTTCCTGTGTTTACACCAGCTAGTGGGCAAGGATGCTTTAGCTGAAGGAGATAAGATCACCTTAGAAACTGCAAAGCTTTTGAGAGAGGATTATCTTGCTCAAAATGCCTTTACACCGTAAGTGTCCTTGTAATTGGTTAACTTCTTTAACATGTATTTTATCATTGTTTTTATTTGCTGTTCTTATGTTGCGACCTTTTATATGGCTGTGATAGATATGACAAATTCTGCCCCTTCTACAAGTCTGTTTGGATGATGCGTAACATTATCCATTTCTACAATTTGGCCAATCAGGTACGGGTGGTTTAAGGAATCCAGCAGTGATTTAGTTTTATTTATTTTAGAAAAAAATCCATGTAAACATAGTGATGGATTGTGTTCAGTTCATTGCATCGCGTCTGCCATCCCTCACATATTGGGACCAGAAATTGGTTGTTTCTTATTTTGTTTGTAAGTTTAGAACTTTAATGTGGGTTGGCTACATGTGCAGGCAGTAGAGAGGGGAGCTGGTTCAGATGGTCAGAAGATAACTTACTCCCTTATCAAGCATCGTGTGGGAGATCTCTTCTATCGATTAGTGTGAGTAACTGTAGTGCTACACATAATATGGCTTATTTTGACATGTTATGTAGGTCTTATTCTATTGTTCGGTTCTCATTGCAGGTCTCAGAAATTTGAGGATCCAGCAGAAGGTGAAGCTGCTTTGGTTGCAAAATTTCAGAAGTTACACGAGGACCTGACCAATGGTTTCCGCAACCTTGAGGATGAAACCCGATGAATGAAGAAAGAGAAAGATTATGGGGGTAGTTTGCTCAAATGTTGTGTTATTCCTATTTAAGAGGCAATCTAGCATGCCAGGGTTGCAACGTCCGCAGCGTTCTCATATTTGACTGTTTGATTCATTCATATCACATTTATTTCCTTTATTGGTGCTGGTTTGGCTTTTGATAGTTTCATCTGTAGCTGTAATCATCTGCTTGCAGTCGATCCCCAGTTTGTTTATTGAGAATAAGAAACGAAACGTTGCTCTTTCAATATGTATTTAGGAGAATAAAATTATTTTAGAACATTAAATGCCTGAGGGTATGCGGATTCTGGATTCATAGGGTTTTGGAATTTTTGGGGGTAGCGGATTATCTTGAATCCTGTATTTCATAGATGGACTTCTTGTAGCAATGAATCTATTTATTCTAAATATGTTATGTTACTTGTCAAGTTCTGTCCCACATTACGTTTATCTTATATATATATATATATTTATTTATTTATTTATTAACCAAGTATCATCATTGTTGGACAAGAATTATACCAATAATCATCATAATATTCTAAATATCATCGTCTGACAACATTGCTTTATTTATTTATGTTTTGGTTTATACTTTTCACGTCCAACATTCAACATTAGCAAAAACAGAATATGACAGTAAAAAGGTCTCTTCACACCTATTTATACAAACTAACGTTCTTCCGGAATGTATCGCTATATTTACAAGTAATCATCATACTCTGAAAACTCTCCATCCTCCCACCTCCACTTGGTTTAGATTGGAGAGATGATTTGTGAAGGCAGAAAGTGAGAAGAACGAGGAAGAAGGTCGAGAAAAGATTTTAAAAAATAAGATTGATTAAATAAATAATAAAATAAGATAATGAATGATCAAAAAATTCTTATTATAAATATTAATAAAAATAATGTAAATTAAAATAAAAATATAATTTAATATGATGCAATTATTTTAGAAATAAACATAATTTTATATAAATAAAATTAATTTATATGTAAATTACAATTATTTACTTATAATTAACAAAGTAAATTGTAATCTTAAACTTTTACCCTTTTTATATATAATTGTTGTCTAAATTTGTTACTTCAATTATTTCTAGTTCCAATAATTTTTATAATTAATTATCTAATTACTTTGAATTAACACTATAAGCTAATTTTTAAAATTATTTAATAGTGCAAACTTAAAATTAACAAATCATACTAACATCAAATAGAACATAAATTCTATTATATAATTTAAAAAAAATTAATAGTTCAAGTTAACATAATCATAATAAAACAATTGATTTAGCTCTCAATGTATAAATTACCACCACAGCAAACAAGAGTACACACATTAACAACTACATAAATAAACATATCTTTTAGCATAATACATTATCACTCACCTCATAATTGATTATCAATGGATAATCGATGTCACCTCATAATTGATTATCGATGATTGTAATGTTTTTTTTTTTTTCATTGGTTGTGCAAAACAGTTAATTACTAACAGAATTTATGCAAAATTCTCCTAAAAAATGTAAATGAGAATGAGACAAAATTTCATCTAATAGAGAAATTTCACCAATGTTGTGTAAATAAACAAAAATAATTAAAAACAAACACATAAAAGACTCTTTCATTTCTAAAAATAATTAAAAATAAACACAGACTCCCTTATTTCAACAAACACATAGATACTCCCTCGTTTCTACACACATCGGCCCCCTCATTTCTCTCTAGTTTCAACCCCCAATCCAAAAGAAGGCTAAAAGAGAAACCACTTCAACATAACTCAATCAGGCATTATTTGTACTCAAGTCTGTAACAATCACAATCATTATTCTTTCCCTTCATTTTTTTTTCCCTCTTTTGTCACTAAGTTATCGGATCCCCTTATTTATTTTAAAGTTGAATGATTATTATTTTTGTGTTTTTAATATAAAAACACACACTCCAATATAGTATGTAACTAAAATTATTTGACAAAAATACTTAGAAGGAGTTGTATACATTCGCCTCAATTTAAATTTATTGAGCCTTAATGAGGTAAATCTCTTTTGAAGTTAAAACTCCTTGTAACCTTATCAGCTTCCGTACATTATCCATTTTTCCTTTATTGCACAATGAATAAAAAAATTGACAAGGAAGAGAAACCAAGTATATCTGTCAAAGGAAATATAGCTTAGTGCAAAACAAGGTATCAATATATAGTGACAGTAACCATTGTGCGTTCACTTGGCATTGAAATTAACGGAGAAGTACAAACGATATGGATTGTGTAAATCACACTGAATGAATCATCCAGGACCAACTTTAGGAATATCATAATGCTCGCTCATGTTTGCAAGATACTGATTGAAATCCTGAATCCTATCACGGTGAGATTTATTAGAAATCTTGGCCAATCTGTGAACATCAAGTTGCTCCCTCTGCTCTATGTATCGCCTCTCTGCCGGCGTCAGATGATCATCATAATGGGCACCCTTCCCTTTCCCACTGCTCAATTCGCTCACCCCATTTATGTCCTCATCATTAGAATCTTTAGCTTGTTCTGCGCTTCCACCTAAATCAAATACCATTATATATATCACCCACTTGAACGGAAACAAAACTATTACAGAAAATGAACAAAAACATAACTGTGACTCTGACGGCAGGCACACCAAAAATAATTAGTTTTGCACACAACACAACATTTGCTTGTTTAGTGAAGCTCAGAAGTTATTATATGTAAGAGCTATCTTTCATATTCAAAGTTTCCATAGACCATTGCCCTTTATCATATTTAACAGCAACCATAAAAAATCTTTCTCTTCAAGGAAGTTCACATAAATGCAAGGATTTTACACAACAAAGATTCTAGCTGCTATCGCTCACTTTGACCAAATTGGTTCTCTTCCAAAACCCATGCAACTTTTTTATGTTCTACTCAGCCATTAGCAAACTATCTTACCAATCAAATCATTAGAGTAACAAATTCATGAAATTTCATGCCCTCACGCCGATTCCACTATTTACTACAAATATAAAGTAGAACCAGTTACCATTTTACAGATTGAATACACCACATGTCAAGAGTCAAGACAAAGGTTTCAATTATCATTGCTGAAACATTAAGAACAGTAAGGAGTTTAATAAAATCTAGATTCCGTTACAACCAGGAACATGTGTCATTTAACAACAAAACAGACCTCGGTTTATGAAATAACAGTACAACATCTATGTAATACCTTGCCCTGAAACAAATATATGAACCAACCTGCTGAAATTTCATCTTCGGCAACTTGCAGAAGTTGATCTTGATTTCTCTTGTTCTTCTTTTTCTTCTTCTTCACTCCACCTGCCACATCCAGCGCTTTCCCCTTAAGCTTCAATTTCCCACCAACAACATTGTCATACGATGACATCTCTGTCCCAAAAAATAAAACATTATTGAAGACATATTTTTAAAGAAGAAATTCTCGAACCGCGTAGCAGATATTCCCAATTAACCGGTAAAATACGTAATGATTGGTGGGGAAGATGAATATTCGGGGTCCTAAGAAAAACCCTAACTTGTTAATGTGCATCGAAAGAACTAAAACAGTTTAAGGAAAACATCGATTTGTATCTAGTATTAGACGACCAAACATCAATTCGCAAATTATTCAACATACTAATTCGCAAAACTCATATAGAGAACCCAAAAACCAGAGTGAAACAAGAAATATTCGCGTTGAAACCATTAAATCAGAAAAGTTGAGAAAGTGGAAGGAGTGAGAATTGCACCGATAACAGAAACGTTGAATGAAAGGGCGAAACTCTCCGATCTTTAGGGCTCAGTTCGATTTCAAACCTCTTAATCTTATTATATCTTTTTCCACAAAGACACCTCTTATCGTAGTTTTACATATCGTATTATTGTATAATAAATAAAGAAAATAAAATAAAAAATTTACAAACAGTACCATATATAAAATTACAAATAAAATTATAAATTTATAATTAAAAACAACAAATAAAAATATATACGACAGCGTATGTACTTTCGTTTATAAAAAAAGATGCTTATATCTCGAAAATACATAAGAATCTTTGTCCGAAATTTATTTATCATTTAATAAATCCAACAAATAAATTTATCTGAGTATTTAATGATGGAAATTCTTATTTATTAGAAGAAAAATTATATAGAAATAAGTAGCATCAATGTTTTTACCCAGTTTAGGTTAAATTATGATTTTCTTTATTAAAATGTTACAATCTCTTCTCCTTTTAGTCTTAAAATATTAGGGGTTTTTTATAATCATTATTTGATAGTTACAACCATTATAATTTGTAATAAGTAACGTTTTATTTCTCCAAGTGTATTTTATTTTTAAACATGATAATTATTTTTATTCCTAGAATAACTTAGATGTCTACAGCATGAGCTAAACTATCTATTTTCAACCTCTAACAAGCTGTACAATATTTTATGAAGAAGCTTTGTGTATAAGGTGTACATTTGTTTATAAAACAATATAATATATGAATATATAATTGACCTTTTCTTATTCAAATTATAAATCTTCTCTTTAGATAATTTTTTGGATAGAATATATAATAAATATTCGTATTTAATATAATTAAAACATTTTATTTTATATTTATTTATTATAATTATTTTATTAAATTTTGTATTATTATTTTAAAAAAAATTTAATTTTATATTATATATAAATTGGTGTGCGATTTAAAATATTATTGAATAATTAATATATATATATATATATATATATATATATATATATATATAATTCAACAACATTTTTTTTAATCTACCTAAAAAAGAATACTCTAACAAAAAATATCAAACTTTAGTCACACAAACGCGTTTGATGATAATGATTAAAATTTTAATAAAATAAATAATATATATATATATATATATAAATTAGATAATGATTAAAATTTAATAAAGTAATTAATGTATATGAAAATTAGATAAAATATTAAAATTATACCAAAATAAAAATGAAACATATATTTTATCCTAAATTTTGGATCATAAAAAAATTTGTATTGAAATTAATAATAAAAACTAATATCAATGTTTTTATACTCAACATTTAAATATAAAAATTTAAAATAAATTTATAACACAATCCTTCTAATAGGATATTTATGATTATATTAATATATTTAAAAATTTTAGAAAAAATAATATATCATTTATTTATTTAAAATTAATTTATAATCTATGTAGACAAAATAAAATTATAAAATATCCTCATACAAGCTTTTATCTTAAAAAATTATCATATAAAATATCAATTTTTTTTAGTAGGATACTACTTCATTTAAACTTTTTTATGTTAAACACACATTTAATATATGTAATTAAAGTATTTATAATAATTAATTTAAAATAAGAATTTAAAACTTTATTTACCTCTCAAATTCTCATCATATTCAACATAACTAAATAGAACATCATACATTAATAATGCATCTAATAAATGCATGTCGGTAAATTTTAGAGCCAAATTTGTATTACTTTAATTTGTTAGTCTTCTCATCAGACATAACTCTCATATAATAATGATCTAGAAATGTACTATGATTAGGAATATATCGATCTTAAATGATTAGTTCCTAAAAACATATATGACGACAACAGAGAGAAAAAAGATGATCAAATTAGATGGGTCAATAACATAAATAAAGAAATTAATTAATACAAATGAAGTTTATGTATAGGATTTATTATTATTTCTAAATTATATATATAATAAAAAATATTATCAAATTAATTTATTATACATATATTTTTTAATAAAATATTTTTATTTTATTTTAAAAATAATCAATTTATCGCAGGTGACATGCATCTTTCCTTAAATTCTATTTTAGTTATGTATTTTTTGTTGACATATACTTTTTTTATACCATTGACTTTTTTCTCGAGAGGGTTTTGGTTAGAGAGGGTTTAATGAGGCATGGAAGCCAAATAAACGACGATCGTTTCACCATTAGCACATCTCAACCAAGGATGATTCACTTCTGAGTGATTTCTCCTGAATATCATACGGTCAAGGATGCTTTGTTCCTCCATCGAACAATCCCTCCCGAAATTTTAAACGCAACTTAACAATCCAAAGAATTATAAACTATAAAACGACACTTAAGTCAACACTTAATAAAAGTAAAAGCAAGATAGACAAACAAGTAATCATGGACAACCAAAAACTTTCATTAACAAGTGCATTTACAAAACGCAAAGTCGACTATTAAACACGACAGTATAGTCATTACAAAAAGTAAAAGTCTGGAAACAACCAAACAAAATTAGGAGTCATATTGTTAGTGTTAGTTACTTTATGTTTTACGTGTCAATAACTATTCCTATTTTATAGGATGTACTGGGTCAAGTTGTTTCCTTATTTTATGCCTCCTATTATGTTGCAGTAACAGCAGTAAAACTGTTGTTATTCTATTTTGAGTCTATAGGCTATAAAAGCCAATGCCTTCACACTTAAATAAATACACTGAGTTTTACGCATATACTGAATTATAACAATTGGTATCAGAGCTCCGTAAGGGGCCTGATACAGTGTGAGCTAAACATCAAGTGAAAAATTGTGAGTGTGAGTGTACAGTCATGTCTGCTGCAGAAAAGTTCGTTCAACCTGTCATCCCAAGATTTGATGGGCACTATGATTTTTGGTCCATGACTATGGAAAATTTTCTACGAAGCAAGGAGTTGTGGCAGCTTGTTGAAAGTGGTATACCAACGTTTGGTATCACACCCACTGAGGCACAACAGAAAGTTGAAGCAGAGGCACTTCTTAAAGATTTGAAGGTTAAGAATTTTCTCTTCCAATTTATCGATCGGGAAATCCTTGAGACAATGATGGATAACAACACATCACAAGCCATATGGAGATCTATGCAGCAGAAATATCAAGGTTCAACAAGAGTGAAACGTGCTCAACTTCAAGCACTACGATGAGAGTTTGAACTTATAACCATGAAGGATGACGAACTGGTTGACAGCTATATAGGGCGTACACTTAGTGTCGTCAATAAAATGAAGTCTAATGGTGAAACTATGAACTCCAGCACCGTGGTTAGTAAGATTCTCAGATCTCTAACCACAAAATTCAACTACGTAGTGTGTGCTATTGAGGAGTCTAATGACTTGAATACCATGAGTCTTGACGAACTCCATGGCAGCCTCCTTGTGCATGAACAACGGATGCAGCACACTCAACTAGAAGAACAGGTATTAAAGGTGATACACGATGATCGTCCCAATGCTAGTCGTGGTCGTGGCAGAGGAAGTCGTGGACGTGGAAGAGGCCGTGGACGACAATTTTTTAACAAAGCACTTATTGAGTGCTTTCAATGTCACAAGCTTGGTCATTATCAGTATGAGTGCCCTAGAGTACAGAAACAAGTTCATTATGCAACATTTGAAGAAGCAGCGGAAGATGAAGAGGTAATCCAATCTGGTCAAGAGGAAGACTGGTTCCTTTACTCTGGATGCAGTAACCATATGACTGGTAATAAGCTCTGGTTTACTAAAATCCATGAAGAAGGACTCACTAAAACTGTCAAGCTTGGGAATGACACTACATTGAAAGTAGCTGACAAGGGAAGCATTTGGGTACACATTAATAATGTAGCTTATGTCATTTCAGATGTATATTATGTTTCGGAACTCAAGACCAATCTTCTTAGTCTTGGTCAACTTCAAGCGCATGGTCTCACCATTCTGATCGAACATAATACATGCAAGATATTTCATCCAGACAAAGGCTTAGTCATCTGCACTACCATGAAAGGAAATTGTATGTTTTACTTGACAGCTTCAATGAGCTCTCAACACTCTAAGTGTTTTCAAATTAAAGATACTACCGTAGAAAAGGAGACACAGCTTTGGCATAAAAGATTCAGACATCTCAATTTCAAAGGACTTACCACACTTGCCAATAAGCAAATGGTGGTTGGTTTACCTTCACTAAAAATTTCTACAACTATGTGCACTACGTGTCTCGTTGGCAAGCAACACAAAAATGCTATACCAAAACAAAGCTCCTGCCGTGCATCCACTAAACTCCAACTGGTGCATGCTGATTTATGTGGTCCCATTTCTCCTGCCTCAAACAACAATAAAGCTTCATGAGCTTCAAAGCATGTGTTGAAAAAGAATCTGGATCGTTCATAGCTTACCTGAGAACAGACAGGGGTGGAGAATTCATGTCTAAGGAATTTTCAGACTTCTGTAGACAACAAGGTATTTCTAGGCAATTGACAGCTGCCTACACCCTCAACAGAATGGGGTTGCGGAGTGCAAAAACCGCACCATCATGAATGCTGTAAGAGCAGTGCTTCATGAAAAACAACTACCAAACTCCTTCTGGCCTGAGGCTGTCAAATGGTGTATTCATGTACAAAACAGGAGTCCTACCACTGCCATAGATCATGGAACGCCAGAGGAGATGTGGAGTGGACTCAAACCACGGGTTGACTACTTCAGGGTATTTGGATGCATTGCCCATGTTCACATTCCTGATCAAAGACGAAGCAAGTTAGATGATAAGAGTCATCAATGTGTTCTTTTAGGCGTGAGTGATGAAACGAAAGCCTATAAACTTTTTGATCCGATTACCAAAAAGATTATTATCAGCAAGGACGTGATATTTGAAGAAGACAAAAGTTGGAATTGGGAAGAAGAAAGAGCAGAGCCTACGCCTACTGCTCTTAATATAAATGGCCAAGATGAAGAAGAAAGTAGTCAAGAAGAAGGAGAAAATGACGATGTAGAGGTCACACCTCAACGTGGAGAAGAAAGTGGAAATGTAGAGCTTACACCTCCAAAGGTGGCAGCCACGGAGCCGCAGCAATCAGATTCCACAAATATTCTAGTTCGAGGGAGGGCGACAAGGACTCGTCGACAACCTTTATGGTTGGGAGATTATGAGACTAATCTTTTAGTAGAAGAGGAGGAGGATCTACTGGCAATGGTGCTGACTGATTCTGGAGATCCTCTCACATTTGAAGAGGCCAAAACAAGTTCAAAATGGCGAGAGGCGATGGATACGGAAATACAAGCAATTGAAAGAAACAACACGTGGGTACTAGTCGATCCACCTGATGGAGTTATACCTATTGGAGTGAAGTGGGTTTTCAAAACAAAGTTGAATGAAAAAGGCCAGATAGAAAAGCATAAAGCCAGATTGGTGGCCAAAGGTTACGCTCAGAAACATGGAATTAACTACACAGAGGTTTTTGCTCCTGTTGCTAGGCTCGATACAGTAAGAGTATTGTTAGCTATGGCTGCTCAAAATGCATGGGAAGTCTTCCAACTTGATGTTAAAAGTGCGTTCTTGCATGGTGAAATCCAAGAAGAAATCTATGTTCACCAACCTGCTGGATATATCAAGCAAGATCGAGAGGGACAAGTTTACAAATTAAAAAAGGCCCTATATGGACTCAAACAGGTCCCACGAGCCTGGTACAGCAAGATTGAAGCGTATTTTGCTAAAGAACAGTTTGAACGTTGCTCCAGTGAACACACCTTGTTCACAAAGAAGGTTAGAAACAATATTTTAATTGTTAGCTTGTATGTAGATGATCTAATTCTTACTGGGAGAAATAGAGATATTTGCGAAGAGTTCAAACATTCGATGCAGTTAGAATTTGATATGATAGACTTGGGCAAAATGAAATACTTCCTTGGTATTGAGGTATTACAAAATGAAGCAGGAATTTTTATCTGTCAAAGGCGTTATGCACGTGAAATTCTTACGCAATTCAGCATGTTGGATAGCAACCCTGTCAAGAATCCTATTGTACCAGGAACAGTACTATCTAAAGATGAAACAGGAAGTCCAGTCGATGCTACACAATTCAAACAAGCCATTGGCAGCCTTATGTACTTGACAGTTACAAGACCAGACTTGATGTTTGGAATTAGTGTGGTTAGTAGATACATGGTCAATTCTAAAGAGTCCCACTGGGCAGTAATTAAACGTATCTTCAGGTATCTCAAAGGGACCATTGAACACGGTCTCTTTTATCAAAAAGGAAGAAAGATAAATTTCACAGCCTATAGTGACAGCAACTATGCAGGAGATCCAGATGACAGAAGAAGCACTTCCGGATCAATGTTTATAATGGGAACTACAGTTGTATCATGGACTTCAAAGAAACAGCCAGTGGTAAGCCTCTCAACCATTGAGGTCGAGTACATTGTTACAGCACACTATACGTGTCAATGTATCTGGCTCAAAAGAATTCTACAACATATTGGAATAGAGGAACAAGAAATCACCGAGATTCTTTGTGACAACAATTCTACTATTCAACTATCCAAAATCCTGTCTTTCATAGCCGAAGTAAACATATTGCAGTGAGGTTTCATTTCCTCAGAGATTTAGTTAATGATCAAATAGTTAAAATAAGATTCTATAATACAAAAGAATAATAGTTGATATCATGACCAAAGCTCTGAAACTTGATCAATTTGAAAAAATCAGAATCATGCTTGGAGTATTCAAGATTGATGAAGTAAGCTAAGCTTAAGGGAGGGATTGTTAGTATTAGTTACTTTATGCTTTATGTGTCAATAACTATTCCTATTTTATAGGATGTAGTCAAGTTGTTTCCTTATTTTATGCCTCCTGTTATGTTGCAGTAATGTTGTAGTAACAGCAATAAAACTGTTGTTATTCTGTTTTGAGTCTGTAGGCTATAAAAGCCAATGTCTTCACACTTAAATAAATGCACCGAGTTTTACGCATATACTGAATTGTTATAACAATCCGGAAGGTCATCAATATGAACAAGGGAGCCGCATTGAATATCATATTCAATGTTGAACATCACCTCGCACAAAGCAACATTATTTCCAATGAAGGAGTGCATATGGTGAATCGCTTTGTTAAAACCTTCCTGTGCTCTTGGACGATATATTCCTTGATCTTCGCCAACTCCTTCTCCCTGCCACCTTCGCAACAACCTCCGTCTCGAGCAAAGAGGAGAGCTCCGCCACTTTGGTGTCAACAACCTTGTCGTCTTCTTCATCTCGCATCAACTGCTCTTTCAACGAGTCCCCATCCAGAGGTAAGGCCGAGACCCGCACGTTCAACTCTCTGATCTCGACGCTCAACAAAGAGTTGACCTCCAAGGCTTCTTTTAAAGAAGTAGATGTCTCAGCCAACTCCCCCCTCTAGGCGGGCAAGGTCTGAACCCTCGTCACTTTTTATAACATCGGCACTCATTCGTTTTCCTAGGACAAGGGTGCGAGTCTGAAGTTCGATGAATGCATGAAACATTTCTAAATGGTCAGCAGTAGTATAAAGCTTTTTCTCGAACGCTGACATATTCACGATAACTTTGGCCCCCATGTGATGATCAAGAAACTGGTTGGCGGCATACACAACGGAGTTGGGGCTCGAAATATACGTCCACATTCTCTTTGGGGAGGGTTGCGGAGAGTCACCGCGATGGCCTCAACCATCCTTATCCTTTTTCTTCTTCTTCTTCTTCTGGGCATCTGGGGAGGGAGCATATCAGTAGGCGACGGAAGAATGATGACAATAACCTCTTTACCTTTGTTAGAGATATTATCGACTTTCTGACGGTACTTCTAGAAGAAGTTTTCATTGGTGGACATCTCGACGACCATTATATCTGCAAAAAATGCACATTCAGTAAAGGGTCAAACAAGCGATCGATAACTATCTAAAACAGAATAGTGTATACTGTCAAGATCACGACGAGGAGACAAGTAGATGTTGAGAAGTTTTCGGGTAGGCAGGCTGTGGGGTAGTTGGTAGAAAATTCCTAACATTCGAACATCTTTTGAAGACATCTCAGAGCATGACCAGTTTTTGAATCGCAAGGGACTACGAGTCTAGTAAAACAAAAACTTAGGCTGATCACCATTAAAGAATTACTCTCAACCATGGGTCGAATGACCACTTAAAAAAAAACGCCTTTAAAATTCTTGTAAGATAAGGTGTAAGGTGAAAAAGAGTTGAGGCCAGATGACCAATGAAAATAACCAACTTACTGGAGAGGCTGGTCGGGTACTTAAGTGTGAGGGGAAAACTTGGAGTGTTGGTTGCAAGTGTAAAGCCTTACAAAGAATACGAAACACTTGCAGGGTGGCCCAACTATTGGGGTATAGATGGGTAGCGTGACGTTTAGCACTCAGAGGACACCCATGGTGAAGTCATCAAAAGGGAGATAGACATGGATATTCGAGAATAGGCAGCAATACATGTACAAATACCCCGCAGTATCTTCCCAGCCATGACAAACGTTGTCCATGGCACCACAACGTCGAAGCGAGATTTGGGTGTCCGGAGCATCGTCCGACAACAAATCCTGATACTCAATGTACGATTTCAACACGACCATTGATATTTCGAGTAGTAGTTGTGCATCCACACATTCGTAGCTCTCGCGCTCCAACATGTTGTCAGCTGCCCTATCGATATCAGTCCCCTCCACAGTGTTGCTAGGAGAAGGGTCATCCTCGATAATGACCACCTCGTCAGTAGTTGTGACCGAAGAGTTAGAGGAAGCGTCATTTGAGCTACCCGTTGTAGACGATCAACCAACACACATTTTACCCTCGCTGATGAGTCATTCGAAGACTTCCTAGAATCAAAAGAAGAGGAAAGGAAGGAATAAGTCATTATTACCTCGAAAGCATGGAGACTAGACACTGGTAGAAGCAACTCAACAAGAAGAGGAAAAAGACAAAAATAGTAGACGGAGTAAATGAAGCGTGAAGAGACAAAACGTAAAATTGCCCCACACACCCCATTATCTAAGCAGAGGCACGGAAAGTGAAGCGTTCCCCCACCTCAGTCGTTCGATCTTGCATAAATCAATGATCCACATTTCAGTAAACGGGTTTGGGCGCGAAAACTTTCAAAAAATCCCGCTCTTTTTCTCGCTGCCCATCCTCTCTACATACACTAGGTATATTCCGGCCAATGTAGGGTATATGACGTTCAACAAGCAAAATACGCTATTCCCCTTCGCCTTGTTAACCGTATCCGGGCGCGAGCGATATCATCTCGACTTGAGCTCAGGGGCATGTGTATTGTATTAGTAGCTTTCAATATAATCCCACATTGGGAAGCCCGAAACTACACCACCAGTCGTAATCATATAATGCATGGCTAAGTAGAAGATAAAAATATCTTTTTCTCACACAATATTTTATCCTTACGGACTTGAGCATTGGAGTATCTTTACTTGCAAGCCACTTTACTTGCAAGCCCCTCGTGTATATCACACAACGTAAAAAACCAAGGACTAAATACCGAAAAGGCCAAGAAGCTTCCAGAAAAGAGAGAATTGTAAGAGAAGGTTATGAATCCTATTTGTGTTCGGCCACACAAGAAAATTAATAATCTAAAATAATATCAATATTTTTTTATACTCAATATTTAAATATACAAATTTAAAATAAATTTATTGAATAGTCATCCTAATAAGATATTTATGATCATATTGATATACAAAATGTTATCGTATAAAAATTTATGGTAAAAAATCATAAAATATATATTTCTTTTGTATTTATAGTTGATAACAAGAAATAAATAAATAATATTAAAAATTTAAAGTTAGAATAATATAAATATTATAAAATATTGAATACTAATTTGAATAAATGAAAAGTTCAACTTGATAGTAACCATGCAATAAATTATAAATATAAATAAGAACACATTTTTAAGAAGTAAATAATTTTTATATTGGTTTAAGATATGACCATCAATGTTAAATGAAGATTCTAAAGTTGATGTAATTGAAATACTTAAAATGTCACCAAATCAACAAAACGAGTAGTTACAGTCATTTTATCTTAAAAAATTATAGTTGTCCATACAAGTCAAACGTATTATAGTAAAAATAATAGATAATATGTTCTTTAACTTTCTTTTAACATATTCTACTAAAAATATTATATAACACATCATTCAATTTTTTCTTTTATGTTAAATACACGTAATAAATATTTAATTAAAGTGATTTTAGTAGTTAGTTTAAAATAAAGATTCAAAACTTTATTTATCAATTAAACTCCTCTCATACTCAATACAATTATATGAAGATCATGCTTAATTATGTATATAGCAAGTGCATATCATGTATATAACAAATTTATATTAGTAAATTTTAAAATCAGATTTTCATTGCTTTAACAAACTAACTTTATTATCCAACCTAACTTTCAACTTTCACGTCATGATACATTTTAAATGCACTATGCAATAGATGACTAAAACAAATAAAAACAAATGTGATGACAACAAAAAAATAAAAAAAATTACCAAAGTAAATTAAGTTTATGTCTACTATTTGTTATTCTTCTAAATTATATATATATATATATATATATATATATATAATATTATCAAATTAATTTATTATACATATATTTTTAAATAAAATAATATTATTTTTATTTTATTTTATTTTAAAAATAATTATTATTTTATAAAACGAGTAAGTTCATGAAACTATATTTGATTAGAATGTAAATTTGTTGGCAACCTAACCTATTTTTCGAATAGGATTAAATCTATTTTAACATTCTAATTTTATCAATTTTAAAAATATAGAAAATTTATTTAACGATAGTTCTATAATAATTAATTGACAAGGCTACTGGAACTAGGCCGAATCCATGAAATATATATTGGCAGCAATTTTGAATACTTTTTTATCCATTTTTATCAAGTATCCCAAAGTATTAATATGGATACAAGAAATAAATTGAAATATTAATAATTTATAAGCTTGAATGTGTCACCTCTTTACAGTCATGTAATTGGTGGTTTAAAGAAAAAGTTGATTCGTAGATTCACCAATTGTTGTTTTTGCTCCTTCTATTGGAAACAGAATAAAACTTCAAATTGCATTAACCATACGCTTTCACACAAGTGGCCAGGCAGAAAACGTGTGGATAAACAAATGAACACAGTTGGACCCGAAATCAGGTTCCGGTTCATATAATTAATAGTTGTCAGAGAGTTATTCTAACATGCGTCTTGAGGTATCAGATGGCATCCTTAATTTTCAAATGGCATAAAAACAAGCTGTCATCAACCATCTTTTTTTTTTTTTTTTCAATATATTTTTGTATATAAAAATTAGAGAAAATATTAGAACTATACCAAATATAAAAATGAAACATATATTTTATCCAAAACTTTTATCCTTTTAAAAATATTTTTGTATTAAAATTAATAATCTAAAACAATATCAATATTTTTTTAAACTCAATATTTAAATATACAAATTTAAAATAAATTTATTACACAATCATCCTAATAAGATATTTATGACCATATTGATATATTTAAAAACTTTTAAAAAATAATATATCTTTTATTTATTTAAAATTTACTCATATTAAATAAAATAAAATCATAAAACATTACTATACAAGATTTTATCGTAAAAAAATTTATTATTTAAAATCATAAAATATATATTTATTTTGTATTTTTAATTGATAAGAAAAAGTAAAAAAAAAAACAACATTAAATATTTAAAGTTTGTATAATACACAATTATAAAATATTGAATATTAATTGAATATACTAAAAGTTTTAACGGTAATCATGCAATCAATTATAAATATAAATAACACCACTTTTTTTTTTTGGAGTAATAAATTTTTATAGTAGTTTCAGAGATGACCTTAAATAAAGATTCTAGAACTACTATTCTTATAGGAATGTTGAAAATATCACAAAGGTGGAATGCTTAAAATGTTCTGTCAAACAATAAATCAAATGCTTCAAATATAGATAATCAATAAAAATTTTATTTATTTTCAAAACTCTACTATTACTCACTATAACTTAAAGGAAGAACGTTCTTAATATAATATATTTAATAAGTGTATATAAAATTTTAGAGTCAAATTTTTATTAAGATAATTTTATTATTCATTATAATTCTTATATAATAATAATTTAAAAATGTACTATATTTAATAATATATTGTCTTAATTATTTAAAAAAAATGACTAAAAGACGAAAAAAAGAAGAAGATAAAGTTTATGTATAAATTTATTATTTTTTTAATAATAATATTGGAAGAAAGGAAGAAAACAAATATTGGAAACACAATAAAACTTCAAATTGCACTAACCAGCCCACAATATTGTCATCAACCATCATTCTTCGGTCTATTTTTGGTAAAAATAATATTTTATATATTATTTATCTAATTGTTATGAGGTTATTAACTGGATGATAATTGAATATTATTTTAATGGTTTACTAATTTTATGCATTTTCAATTTTGAAATTGATTTTGAAGAAACTTTAATACGAACACATTATATACCGTGTCATATTTATTCAATATTGACTCATATTTCTTCACATATTTAGTAGTGTGTTTTTTCTTTTATTTCTTTCTCTTCTTCGTTTGTTTCTTGCAAATAACACAACTATAAAAAAAAAACTAAGTAAACTTTTTTTAAAAATCATTCTGTAAAATATATAGAAAGGATTTATTAAAAATAATAATATAATTTAATCCACATTAAATAAAATACATATTTTAAATAAGATAAATCACTAAATATATTATAAATTGTTTTAGAATAAAATAAATATTATAAATTATTTTTTAATTAATTAGAGAATATTTTTTTATGATTAACATTATATAATTTTAATAACAAAATTATTTACCATCTTTAAAATATTTATTTTATTCTAAAATAATTTAAATATATAATTTAAATATATAATTTAAATATTTATATTTAGTTAAATATAAATTTCATATAAACTAAATTATATTATCATTCAAAATTAAATTATTTTGAAACAATTTTTTACTTTTAGATTATCTAAAATAAAACTATTAAAAAGGGAGAAATAAAAGAGAAAAGAGGAAGAAAATAAAGAAAACTTGATCAATTGTGTAGAATGAAAGAGAGAAAAATAATAAATAAAAACAAGTACAAGCTCAGAAAAAAAATTGTGTTGTCAAATTTTGAAAATAATTTAATAGAATAAAAAAATATGAAAATACAGAAAAAAAGCTTGATGAATTATAAATATTAAATGAACATGTATAAATATATATGTAATGGAAAAATTACTATTTTGAATTCACTAATTTCTCACTTATACTAAAAACGCATATGTGACTCTGAATTCAAGAATGAAACGTGAAAAGAATTATCAAAATAAGGATGTTTACTAAGGACGGAAAACAAATTCAAAGTGCAGAATTAGCATGTAGCATAGGAGTGGAAACCTGTGTTTAATGGGTCTAA